ACCCTTACTCAGAAGTCACTGCTATTCTACCTTGAGAACAAGGAGCACTGCAGGAGTAGCTGCACATCAAGTTAGGGTTATTTTTGACATATTTCAACTCATATATGTCTATATCACCCCACTATGGGATCAGGAGGTCTAGATACATGGGTGCTTATAGAACTGGTTGGTGTCCTTACAAAGCAAGGACAGGTTAAAAACCAGGTGGGTAAAAATATTATTTGATGATCAAGCTGACAGTGTAGTGCTTAATAGGTTGCACTTTACCTGGATGACTGTTACAAGTGGAGAAACACAGGGAGCTACCTAGTGTTTCCACTGCACTTTACCTGGATGACTGTTACAAGCGGAGAAACACAGGGAGCTACCTTGGGATGGGTCCTGTTTAACACCTTTATCAGTGACCTGGAGGAGATGATGGACTGCATCCTTATCAGACTTGCAGATGACACCGAATTGGAAGTCCCAGTTGGATATTCTTGAGGGCAGGGGTGTCATTAGAGGGACTGATGCTGGCTGGAAGAATGGGCTGACAGAGATGATAGAAAATTCAGGAAGGACAAGTGCAAAATGTCCAGCCTGGTAAGGAAGAGTCCCCTGCAGTGATACATGTTGGCAGTGTCTGGCTGGGGAATAGTTCTGCAGAAAAACTCCCTGGGGGCCCTGGTAGGCAGTGAGCTGACTGTGAACCTGCAGTGGCCCTGGCAGTAATGAGCATCAGTGGCATCCTGGGCTGTGCCAGCAAGAGCACGGCTTAAGGAAAGGGATCACCTCCCTCCAATCAGCTCTAGTTAATCTGTACCTAGACTACTACTGCCCATTTTGGGTCCCCAGTAAAAAGATGCTGATAAACTGAAGCATGTTGAGGAGAGGGCTATCAAAATGTCTGTGGCTATAACATCTGTGCTGTGAGGTGGGTTAAGGGAGCTGGGCTTGTTCTGCCTGGGAAAGTGATGGTTTCAGGGGTCCAAACAGCAGCCTCCAGTGCCTGTGGGAAAGGTATCAAGAGGACAGATCCAGGCTTTGGGTGGTGGGAAGACTAAAGACACTGAGCATAAATGAAGCAACTGTATACAAGTTCAGACTGTGTATGAGGGAAACATTTTTTCACCATGAAGACTGGCAAGCAGAAGAGCAGGTTATCCAGTCTCTGCCCTTGAAAGTTTTCAGTATGTGATTGAACATTGGAACAGCAATCTTGGTTTGATCCCACAGCTAACCTTGACTCAAGCAGGAGGCTGAACTCAAATTTTCCAATAATCATGTGAACATCAACTGAAGGTTGCACACAGTAAACTATAACATGTTACTCTGTATCAGACAGTAATGCATAAATAACTGAATGAAAAAAATAAGATTATTACAGGATTAAAATAAGGTGCGATTTCATTTTCACTCTTACCAACATACACAAGCAATAAGTTGTATATCAGTAAATTACAGATTCCAAATTAAGTTTACAAAAATATCCTGAGATGTTTCACTTCAAAATTCCACCCACAGCTGTCACAAGTAGGCATGTTAGATTCTTTAGTGAATTGGGCAGTCAATGGAGCAGAACTAGAATACAAATTTATTTTCCTTGTCTCACAATTTTTCTACTCCCATAAAAAGAGACACTCTACCACAAAATTCTTTTCAAAGCAGATGGAAACAGGTACAAAAGATCCAGGAAACTAAGAATGTGGCAGAATAGCAAGTTACAAAATAATAAACCTCTATTAGGCTACTAATAAATAAGCACTGCTAATTCAACCATATAAATATATAATTTAACCATATGTGTGTATGCACATATACATACATATATATGTATGTATATAGAAGGCTGAACAATTTGCATTTGCAGAACCTTAGCATTTTGCCAAATTCTCCTATTTAAAAAAAGGAGATCAGCAAGACAAAATAAATATCCTTGAACTGTTCATTCTAAAACTGTGAGGGTAGCTCAGGTGAACTACTCCAGGGAGCAATGACTGGTCAGATCAAGTTATTATTTTAGTGTTTCCTATTTAGGCCTATGACATGTTATGCTCAGCACATAGGACTTTGACACTTTTCTTTTGAGACATCCAAGGGTCTCAGCAAAGAACATAGGTACTTTCTCTGGATTTGGCATTCCTCTCTGGAGGTCAGATAGGTAAAGGTTGGATGTGGTCATACCTACTTAGTAAGTACTTTAAATCCAACATGCTGGAAAGTTTCATGTAACCTTGTTGCAAATCCTCCAGGGACTGTCTCAGTCATCCTGTTTTATTTCAGAACTAAAGTCAGTGACGTTTACTCCAGTTATATCTAACAGTGCAGGAATTGTCTGAACAGCAGGGACCTAAATCTAGGATTTCCTACTTCTAAAACCAGGTCAAGTATCACAAAGGTGGGATTTAGTTTACATATTAAGACACCTAAATGCATGTTCATGTCAGTGAGCTATATATCTAAGCTCATGCTATCACCACTGCTCAATTCAGTTGTCTAAGCAGACACATTTAAGTGACAGTGCCACTAAAGGTGCTCCAGGGTATCAGAGGCATCTACATGAAGAGAGAAAACACGACATGGGACTTTGAGAACATCTGCAATCCTTTGGGGAAGCAGCAAGATACCCAGACCAAATCACTGGGCTCCTTTGCAAGTGTTTCATAGATTAGATGTCCCAACCACATGGAGACATCTAAATGCACACATGTGCATCTTCATCTTGAGGCAAGTCCCACCTTGGTGAAAAATCTCTTCAAGAAACATGAGACAACAATATAGTAAGTATTCTGACTGCAGAGGTTACAGCTCCCACCAAAGCTGAGATGCTCATTAATGTGGTTCATTGCACTATTTAATTTTGCACTGAAACAGATAAGAAAAGCCCAGGTGACAAGTCAACAGCACTTTTGCAGAGAGGCTAGTGTGTGTCTAGACTGCTGCAGTGGCATTACAAGGGGAACTCTCACTGCCGCAACACTTCCAAAGCTGCATAACAAACTGTTTCAAATCCCTGTCAGAGTGTAGGTGCCATGTAGTTATGACATCTCTGAACACAAAAACTCCTCTCTCTCTGTATGCTGTGAAAAAGATTTCAAAAATCATGTCTCAAGTGAGCAGTTACTTCAAAATTTATCAAGGATGAATATATTTCCCAAAATATCCATTGCTTTTCCAGTGGCCTAGAGAGCTTGCTGGTGAGAAAATGCTACAATCTGCAAAGAAGGAGACGTGTCCCTTTGTGCCTGAGTTGCTTTAATAATAACAAAAATATTTTATTGCCAATTGATCAGCAAATATGCAGTGGTGTGCAATCTAGTGGTGAAACTGCTCTCTGGAACAAGAGTCTTGAAACAAGATACATTTTGCTATTATACAGATGCCAGTATCATCCTGTGTTTTGTGTCTTTTGTTTACAAACTACTTTTGAATGAACTTTTTTGAAAACATGAGAAGCATTATATCAATTAGACAACAGTTCCTTTTGTTTATTCCTTTCCTTGCTCTCTTGGTAATCATGCCTTCAGCACTGTGGGGGGAGGCAGAATAACTGATTCTCTACCTTCATGAAAAAAGCCAAATAAATGAAAAAGTAAAGCAGTAAGGAAAAGAGCAGGGTAGCTCCTGAGTGGCTACCAAATTTACATACTTATCTAGTTTCTTTAGTTTGGCTAAAATTCTCTGATTTTCTCATGTGACTATTCAGGAACATGTGTTTTGCAAATCAAGCATTTCTGTTGAAAGAAAATTTGCTAAAAGAAAGCATTAAACAAATGTTACCATATGATATATCAAACATGAAGTTTAAGAAATAGAACAGTGGCCAATGTCTAAACAAGAAAAACTCTTTGGGAAGCCAATTCATCATCACAGTAACCTGCTTTCTATATGTCAATGTATTTTATATGTATATAAATCAAAGGTTTATTATGAAATAAATGCATTCAAATGAACAAGGTAGTGGTGTTTCAGACAAATTTCCTGACATAAAAACTGATCTGTTTAAACAAGTGCAAGGGGAAGAATAAGGATTAATGCTAAAAATGTTTTATATTTACAGTGAATACGCACCTCTCAGGGCACACAACAAAAATTAAAATGTTGTTTATCTATTAAAAAAAATGCCATTCATCATAATAGTTACCCTCTAAATTTACCAAAGACTGGTTCAGTTAAGGTATTGTTGAACTCATACTTTAAAGACCTCTTATGTTTAAGATAATTTCTGTTAAAATCTGTTAATTACTACTATGAATATAATTCCACCACACAGAAATGAAAAATTAAAATCAGATAATATGCAAATAGATAAATTTTATCAATATTCATTCATTTTGAACAGAAAGGTTTAAAGTAACCATCAAAAGAGTTAAATTTTTTCTTATTAGATCCCTGAAATTATCACTCAGAGTGAACTAGGCCTAGTCTGCCTACACCTGTGCATACACAAGTAAAGCCAAGGCACAATGAAGGTAAGAAAGTTGTAAAACTGAGCACCAGATTTTACTTTGCTCAGGTTGTGACTCATTTGATTAACTCAGTAACAATCTGTCTTACAAGAATTTGCAATCATAAATTACCAATTGTAAAAATAAACATTTATATTTCTGCCAACCAGACACTGTCTCTAAAACATACAGGAGCTACACAACTCTTAAAAGACAGGAATTAGTTTCCTAACATGGAATCTTTACATACATGTTATGACTTGACTTTAAAATTCATAGCAATTATTTTAAACAGCACCTGAAACAACTTTCTTTGTTCTATTTCCACCATGAACACAAACACCAACATATTGTTTTCCATATGAGAAACAGAATTTATTCAAAACAGCACGTGGATTATTACATTTTTTCTATATTTAATATCAGAAATACATTGCATTATCTCTGAAACTGCTGTATAGAATAGTAGTTTAAAGTAATTGTTTTCCAATAACTACAATTTTCCTGTCTGGCTTGAAAATTTTGCAAGGCAATCCCACAACAAATGCACTGTTAAAGAGTTGGCTGCTTGTTTTAATCAATTTGCATTTGAGCTGAGTTCAAAAGAACACTCACTCTCCATAAATATAAAGAAAACAAAGGGAATTCATCTGAGAGATGAAGAATAATTTGATCAAGGTTCTTCAGAAATTTGATCTTTTCTTCTCCATCATAGTGTGAGCTTGAAACGTTACTTTCTTCTCTCTCAGTTTGAAGAATTTGTTCCAGAATCAAGCACAAAGGAAAAATATTCTCATACTGGGTAATGTTGTACATAGACTGGACCTGGGAATAAAGAAGAATGAATACATAATCACAGGGTGAAAATATTTCTGCAGCCCAACATCTGAGACGACACTTTTAGGAATATTGTTAAAACCTGCAGTAGTATTCAAGGTTCAGTATGATTATGTCTAAGAAATGTTTTCCTTTTTGTGGGAACAGCCAAACAACTAAGACTCATACTACCAAATGAAAAGTCAACATAACCTTCTCTTCATGAGTCAGAGAAGGTTTTCTTTACCTAATTATCCACAGGCTGTGACATATAATAGTGAGGTACAGAAAAACAACAACAGTTTTGTTTGGTTTAGCCATATAATTAGAATTGGTGAATTTCTGTTTTCTGAGAAATAAAAATAACAAGCATAACAAACTCTTTTACTCCTAAATACAAATGACCATCTATTCAAGTGACACCACTAGAAAGCAATTTGTGAGTCCAAATTCTCAATCTCTATAGAAAAAACACAAGACAGTTCTGTCATTTGAAGTGGAAGAGTCAGTCTGCCGAATAAGCTCACTGACCAAATTTCTAAAAAGTCTTACAGCTTTTATCAAATCTAAATTTACCTGTCCTGTATTTGAAAACTGAAATTTGAAACAGAAACTTTCAGAATCTCATCTGCACACAGGAAATAACTAGTAAGATAAAATCTTAAACCTTGTGAAGTTGTCTCTCTGGAAAGAAATTCTGTGTTCTGCTTAACAGCAAAATCTGCCAATAATATGAGATGACCTTGTTCTGAAAAAGGCTAAATTTACAGTATATAGAGGATCAGAACTGAAAGGTAAAATCATAGCTGCAAGAAAATTAATTATGTGTTTCAGAAAAATGAACCAATAACTCTAGCAAGTCTAAAAAACTGTTCAGGCCTGTGGTACAAAGCCGGATGGGTATAGGCTTCACCGTGGGTCTACGATATGAAAAAGTATCAAATCATTTTACCCAGCCTAAACTACACACTGTTAGACTTTCCTAAGTGTGAAATTTATTATGCAATCATTGTTTTTGCAAATAACATCAGTTATTTTCGTTCTACTAGAATCTAACAAAAAGCACACTATCTTCTTCAGGTAAGACTGTGGAAGATGGTGGCTTAGAGACTTCTCGCTTTGACTTTCTGAGCTACTAGTTCTTAAACCTGAAATCTGTGTTGAGGCACCCTAAGGCAATGTTTTTCAGGTAGCCTCCCACCTCAGGGACAACACTAAGACATCACAGCCATCCTACTGCAAAGTCTCAACCTAGCAAAGTACTTCTGCTGAGTTTTCTAGATATCTTGACAATTAGGTTCATTACCACAACATAATAGCTCCAGTTCTGTCTCTCTGGAACCTGATAAGAAAAAATCTACTGTTCAAAAGCTGCTGTCAAAAATTCGGTACTGATATTCTTATCACAACAGACAGGAAAAAAATAAAAAAAGGACAATATTAAGCATTTGCATACTTTTAAACTCCAGTTAAATCAAATTGTATTTTTCCCTCATCAGGGAAAAATCTCTTTCCAAAGCAGAGGTAACAGGACAGTCTGTTTCTCCAAATACCAAGCATCTGCCTCGAGGATGATCATGCCTATACACTGATTGTTCTGACTATTAACTAATAGTGGTGAGATAAATGTATTTGTTTTGCTTATTAGACTACATTACAGCTTTCTAAGTTGAGAAAATAACTATTACTGATTTACTGAATTTCTAGGACATATATGACTCTAAAGGCCTACAAAGTCTGCTCTGAAGACTGTCGTGCAGGGATCATCTGACCAATCACAGGCACCAGCAAGCTGAGATAGTTCTCCCTGGTTCCTGTTTCAGGTTACAGAGGGTGGGACTCAGTTTACTGAGTGCAGATATCTATTACCACTTCAGATGTCCAAGGGTATCCAGGGCATGTGCACAAGTAGAGCAGCTGTAAGTGAGGAAGAGTACCTTAGGCCATCCAGTGTGGCATTAGATGTCTGAGTTTTGGCAATGGAGTAGTTCCTGAGGTCTTTCAGGATATAATTCATCCTGTTCTCAACTAGAACCTCAGATGTACCATGCCCTGAAACTCTTTGCAGGGGTAAAGTGTGACTGTGCCCAGAAAAAAATTACTATGTAAAAACATAAATGAAATTCCTATGCTTTTAATTCCTGTAATTTGGACATTAGAAGTACAATGTTACAAGCAAAAATCTTTGTTTGATTCTTAAGTGTTGGCCTTGAAAATTCACTCAGATCTTTCCTGCACATGAGGAATCAATATAAAACGTTTTAGAAAGCCAAATTATGTCACTTCACCTACTCCTGTAACCTCAGGCTCTTCCATGTTCAGTGGGTCTTGAAAAGTACCTACTCCTGTAACCTCAGGCTCTTCCAAGCAGTTAAGCAATTGTGTTACTTTCAGTGGGTCTTGAAAAGTGCAACTAATTGCAACTTAGTAAACTCTCTAATTGATTATGGATAATAGAAACCACAAGTTAACTAATTAGCTTTCCTCTGCAAATACTACTGCATTAAAGGAAAATTATTTTCGTCACACAGAACTGGCTTTGAACAGACAGTCTGATGTAAGTCTGATGGCAAGGAGGAAGCATTTTCTGAGCTAAGTGCTTTTCTGGGGACAAATGCACTTTGAAACACTGTATTATAAAACCAGGAAAAAATAAATCAATCTAGAACATTTTCTGGCTCAAGGCTTATTAACCTTTCCAACCCATTTAATAATCTCAACAAAACGTGTCTCTGTTTCTTGTTAGATGCCTTTTGTTGCACTAATTGATGCAATTACTGCTGATGTCAATTTATCCCACAGAATTAGTACAGGGATAGCTTTACTGTTACCTAATGGTGCACAGCCAGATATCAGACCTATTATCTCACCCACCAATGTGTGCAAGTGGGTAGTGGTGTAAGTATGTGCACACACATGCAGCTGATCCATCCAAAAAATGCAGAGGGTATGTCAGGAAAGCAAACCTTACATATATGCTGCTATTCCACAACATATTAATACCAACTTTAAGTAACTTCAACACTAACTCTGTTCTTCTGAACCAATCTTAAGATAATCACAATTTCACAGATCAGATGGGTATGCAATATGGATTTTGAACACTATTTTTTATGAGATTGGTCCTTGTCAATTTTGCCTCACCAAGTACTTGGAAATGTGTTTCTTAGCACCAAGATGCATTTTTCATGCATGTCAGTTTTTAATTTAACTTTGGAAATTATTTTCTTAGTATGATTTCTCAATACAAACAAACTTTTTAAAGCTATAGCCATTTTTGGGGTGACCACCTGGAATAGGAAGCATATTAGCTACACAATCTGAAAGCAGAGAAGAAGTTATCTAACCTGTCTTTTTTTACAAAGCTATCACAAAAATCAGTACTAATATGTTAAAGGAAACTGCTATGTTCCAGGTCCCTAGCCCTATTATACTTCCTTTTTGCAAAGCAACAGATCAGATGGTCCAGGATTGAATTCCAAGCTGCTGCTCTCTTACTGGACAGATTAGGAAACAGATTAGTGCAAGTCTAAACTGCACTTAGACTATTTTTGTTTTCTTGTCTTAGTGGTTCATGCACATTTAAATAATTTATTCAAATGTCCTTAATAACAGCAATATAAACCAAGGAAAGAATAAATACTAGCTTCGAAGAAATTCTCTACAATTTTTAAGCCATGTCACAAGTCATATTTCTAGTGATACAGTCTGTTGAGCCTGGAATTTTCACATGCAAGAAGACTGATGCTACTTCATGAGTATAGGCAAGTAACTTCTAATCCTTTTGTACCTCAAAGGACATGGCAACTAGTAGTTGCTTCCATGCAGCTCAGATATTTATGCAGGCAATGGACAAAGCATGAGAAACATCTGCACACTCTCTGGAACAAGTCACAAACTTGGGAAAGTTCTAACTTGGCAAAACTTCTTTTTGGTTTCAAATGGAAGACTGAAATGCTGAAATTTCAGACAAAACTAAATCAATTAAAATTAATGCAGAAGCACCATTATCTTTGATTTATGACAAAAAGCTCTCCACCATTTCTATGTCTATAATTTGGGTAACATCTCTTTAAGCTTTTTTCATCCCATGATGATACCAAGTTTAAATGTGTGTTGCAACAAATAATTACACACAACATAATGCTACATAAAATACTGATGTAGCAATACAAACTTTAATCAGACTGGAAAGATGAGTGTTTATATACCTCTGCTGTTCAGAAAGTCATAAAATTGACATTTCTAGAAGATAGCTATTTTAGCAGAAAAGTATTCTGCCAAATCTCCTCAATCCATCATACTGTAACAGTTTTGCTTCTTGTACATTTTTTTCTTGCAACCTTTACCTCTTCCATTTCTTGGCAAACCTTTACTATTCAGCAGGGATATAACTTTTTATGCCAGCAAGGTGTCTTTTCTAAGCCTCGAGAAATTCTATTTCAAATTTAAGTGAAATATCAAGTGTTAAATGTTGGCATTTTGCTTCTTTTACAGGTATAGCTTTCAGAGAAGCATAAAGGGTATGCCAAAATAAACAACAGGAACTGTTGTTTGCTAAATCCTGGCTAGTATTGTCTTCCAATGGAAGCAAAGGCAGTAGGAACTGCAGAACCACCAGCTTCTGGGCTGTGACCATTGAGTTAATCACAGAATTATAGATTTCAGGGGTTGGAATGGACCTTACAGATCATCCAGTCCCAACCCCCTGCCCTGGGCAGGTACACCTCCTCACTAGATCAGGTTGCTCAAGGCTCATCCAGCCTGGCCTTGAACACTGCCAGGGTTGGGGCAGCCACCACATCCTGAGCAACATATTGTCACACTGTAGATGTCCCTAGCAGCCTCATGCTAGAGAGATTTCAGAAGCAAGAGTAAGGATCTTCTGAGAATAGGATCTGCCCAGACACAATAATTTGGCATATCCTGGAAAATAGCTTTGATAGAATTTAAAGTGCTTGTTCTCTTTGCTTTCACCCAAGGGGAAGACACTTATCCCTGAGACATCT